GTCATTGGGAGGTTATGACTACAGCATAGAATCTGCCTGGAAAGCTGGGTCCAAGCTTGACTGTGCTGGCTTTTAACAGGTAAGATTTATACTTGTGGAAGAAAGAAGAAAAAAGCTGCTTGCAATAGAAGCTTAACGGAAGAATTGACAATAGTGAACAACAGCTTAATATGCTTAATATGTTTAAAAAGCAGGGTTGGAGTACATATACAGTGTTTTTGTAAGAGATTCAAAAGTACATACAAGTTTAAAACATGGGGGAGGGGTGGCTGGAGAGATAGCTCAGCGTTTAAGAGCATTGCCTGCTCTTCCAAAGGTCCTGAGTTCAATTCCCAGCAACCACATGGTGGCTCATAACCATCTGTAATGAGGTCTGGTGCCCTCCTCTGGCCTTCAGGCATACACACAGACAAAATATTATATATATAATAAATATTTTTAAAAAATTTAAAATTTGAGATTTATGTTTTCTTAGTCTGGAATCCACCGCCCCAATTCCTTTAACCTGTGGTGCCTAACCTCCCACCTTTTTATTACAAAAAAGGAGATGGGAATGTAATGATCTGTCTCTTTAAGAGACAAGCCACGACCACCCCCTCCCCCATGTGCTGAGGCAGGCAGGTCCTCCTTCTTGCTTGCACCCTTAGTCTCTCTCTCTTTTCCAACTCCCTCTTGGAGAGGCAGCTTCGGTCTCTCCTCTCTCTCTCTCTCTGCCTCTGCCTCTCCCTGCCTCTCTGTTCTTCTCCCTTTCTCCCTTCCCTTCCATAACTACTAAATAAATATCCAGCCTCATTCTGTATGGTGTGCCTATCTGTCTGTCTCTCGCCATCTGTCTATCGCCAGCCTCCACTGGGGACCAACCACCTTTGGAGACCTGCTGAGTGGTCTCATGCACCATCCCTGCCTGGGACTGGCTGCTCTTGGGACGCCCCTCCCACTGCCTGCCGCTGCTGGGGATCCCAAAGCAAGCTACTCGGGGATCTGCAGCAATTTTTAATAATCCATTACACCTGCCCTCTCAGATACCTGGTCAATGATACATGGTTCTTTGCTAGGATTTTGTGCCCAAAACACTGACCAATGGTTTCAGAAATCTTCTTACTCTGTGTTTGGTTGGAAGCATCACCCCAGCTCCCTAACACCCATTTATACAAAAAGTCCAGATTGTTTGCCTGGGGCTTCATCCCAGCTCCTGGAATAAGCCCCCTCCCCAGGGAAGGTCAAGACCACTCCCACAGGCTATTTAAACTGTGCCCCAGAAAATAAACACATTTTTTTCTCCCAGCAGTGTATAAACCTGACTTTTCCTATAGGGCAACCAGATACCTCCCCCATACCATGAAGCAATGGGGTGAAAACGATTCAGTCAGTCAAGTCCTTGTTCTCATAGCCAAAATCTACAAAAAAAAAAAAAATGGTCCCACACTGCCGGGGTCTGATGCCCCAACATAAACTATCTTTCCCTCCGGACTAGCATGAAGGCATGGGAATAATTGAGACACAATTCACACAGCAATATCGGAAGGGAGTCTTGGGGTTCATTCAAATCCTGAAGATCACTCAGTGTTTATTATCCAAACACCTTTTTCCCCCAAGGTAAACTGAGGTGTAACTTCATTAGCCTTCTGTTTCCAGGATAGCAGGACTAAAGTCATGTCCACAGCTCTGTCACTAGCTTGGAATTGACACCTCTTCTCAGGTGATCTACATAATAACAAAGCAAGGAGCAGCATATACTGAGCTCAGGAGACAGCATCTGAAGATGCTTTTAGCACCTCTGTTGCTATTGTGGCCTGAGAGTCTGGCTGCTGATACAATGATAAATATGTGGCCTGTATAAAATTACCCCACACCACACAAACCTTTATTGACAATACTCACTGATAAGAAAGGAGCCTCATTGTCTCAGTGTGTGGGTGTACCCCTCGCGGTCCTGAGTTCCTTGCTCGTGCTCCCTCTCCTTCTGCTCCTGATTTGGACCTTGAGATTTCTGTCTGGTGCTCCAATGTGGGTCTCTGTCTCTTTTCATCGCCTGATGAAAGTTAATATTCAGGAGGATGCCTATATGTTTTTCTTTGGGTTCTCTTTCTTATTTAGCTTCTCTAGGATCACTAATTATAGGCTCAATATCGGGAATTCACCAAGGCCAGCTGGCCTGGGTCTGAAAAAGCATGGGATAAAACCAGACTTGCTGAACATAGCGGACAATGAGGACTACTGAGAACTCAAGAACAATGGCAATGGGTTTTTGATCCTACTGCACGTACTGGCTTTGGGGGAGCCTAGGCAGTTTGGATGCTCACCTTACTAAACCTGGATGGAGGTGGACGGTCCTTGGACTTCCCACAAGTCAGGGAACCCTGATTGCTCTTCGAGCTGAAGAGGGACTTGATCGGGGGAGGGGGAGGGAAATGGGAGGCGGTGGCGGGGAGGAGGCAGAAATCCTTAATAAATAAATAAATTTTAAAAAAAAGAAAGGAGCCTCATCCAGGAGTCTGTATGTCTGCTCTAACAGCAGACTCAGGAAGGTGTGATCTACAGGTCTTCTGCTCTACTTAACAGGCTACTAATATTCTGTATCACCCTTCTCCTTGGTTTCAAACAACATAGGATCACAGCCCCGGAAATTAAGAGGAAAGAGCAGCAATTTGTAATCCCCAGCAAGGCAAGACTTCCTTTACTTCTTCAAACATTTTTTTCTAGTGTCTGCCTTTGAATTAGCTAATAAGATATCATTCAGATTGTGATAAATTACAGATTGTGGAAACTGTACAAGAATTATTTCCAGTAGTTTTTTGCATAAAATATTGCACAGCATGGGGCTATTTAACATTCCCTGTGGGAGAATCTTCCACTGATATCTCTTATCTGAATGAGAATTATTACAAGTAAGTACCGTGAAGATAAATTTATCCCTATCCTTTTCTTGTAGAGGTATAGTGAAGAAACAAGCTTTTAAATCAGTAACTGTAATAGGCCATTCTTTAGGTAACAGAAAAGGCAAAGGCATTCCAGGTTGTAGAGAGCCCATAGGCTGAATTACTTTATTTATGGCTCTCAGGTCTGTCACCATTCTCCATTTTCCAGATTTCTTTTTGATATTTATTTATTTATTATGTATACAATATTCTATCTGTGTGTATGCCTGCAGGCCAGAAGAGGGCACCAAACCCCATTACAGATGGTTGTGAGCCACCATGTGGCTGCTGGGAATTGAACTCAGGACCTTTGGAAGAGCAGGCAATGCTCTTAACCTCTGAGCCATCTCTCCAGCCCCCACCCCCAGATTACTTTTTAATACAAATACAGGAGAATTACAAGGGCTCACAGATTCATCAATATGTCTAGCATTTAGCTGCATCTGAACCAACTGATTTAAATAAAGCCTGTAGGTTCTCTAATGTCAAAGGCTACAGGCCAACCCAGACAGGTTTGTCAGTAGGGCTGTGGGTACCTCTGAGAGTTCAACAGCTATTGTGTCCTGTTTTTGTACAGCCTGGATAGTCTGTGACTATTTTTTAGAGTGTCTTATAATATTATTTCTAGAAACATGAATTGGTTTATGGTCTGCTTCTGAGATTGAAGGAATATTAGTGTGTCCATTGCTGTAACAAATCTCTCTTGCTCTCCATCTCCCCCGCCCCTTCTCTGTGTCTCTGCTCCGCTCCTGCTTCTCTCCAGTCCAGGTCTACTCTGCTGGCCAGGTTCAGCCTCTCTTTCTCTCTCTGCTCTGGACTCTTCCTGTTGCCTCCGGCTGTTCTCTCTTATGTTTGTAGTGAAAACTTCCCATTGACCAGACTATGAAGCAATCATGCCATCAGTTTATATGTCAGTCATGAATACCATTTGGGGGACTCTCAAATTACATCCAAGGGTTGTGAAAACCCTTCTCTATTGATAAATGAGATTACAGGTGCCTTACATGGAATTACAATATAACCAAACAAAGCCAGGAGTCACAAAATGTTTAATGCTTGTACTCTTACTGAAATTGCAGTTTCTGATAAGATTCCTAGGAAATATCAGGCTGTTTCGCTGATAAACTCTCTGCAGTCCAGGTCTTGTCTTCTGTTGTGCTATTGGTGAATTGCTTGTTCCTTAAAGACTGAGGTCAGCTGCAGTCTGAGTGGTTATTTGGAGTTACATGCCAAGGAAGCTAGGTCTTACTTGACAGTTTGTTTCTATTCTTTGTAACCTGGTTTTCCATTTGTCTTGAGATTTTGTTAAAGAGTTATCTCTACATTTGTGGCATGAGACCCAAGTGGATCTTCTTAGGCTACTTTGCCACACCAGGTGATATAAATTATCAGCACCCTTAGCAGCACTCTGGGCCCCTTTATTTGTGTCTATATCTGTGTGGTGTGCATGTGATGTATATGTCTGTGTGTGTGCACGAGAGTGAGGAAAAGCACACACTCACATATGCATACTTGCATGTGGAGGCCAGAGATTGACCTTGAGTGTCTTTCTCTGTTCCTCTCTGGCTTATTCGTGAGCCAAGATCTCTTCACTGAAGCCAGACCTTGCAGATTTGGCCAGACTAGCTGGCCACTGAGCACCGAGAATCAGCCTGTCTCTGCTCCTCCCCAACAGGTCCCATGGTTGTGGTTATATTTGGGTAGGTGCTGGGGAACCAAACCTGGGTTCTCATTTTTGCACAGCAAGCCCTTAATCCATTGAGCCATCCCCCCAGTTCCTCCAACCGCACCCTTTTTTTGATCCCTCAGTGCCAAAAAGCTTGGTGAGACAAATGTTTAGTGGCCTCCCTGAGGACCCCTGAACACCCAGAGAAGCCTGGAACAGTGTAGAGTCAGCAGAGGACAGCCGAGTGTGGACCACATACACAGAACAGGACACAGTGGTGGTGTCTGAGCTGACACGCAGAGACTATAGCCTAGGGTCATTGTAGGCAGAGCCTAATCCTTGCCTGACCTACTTCTACCCACCCTTCATTTCAGTTCACAGAGACTGCTCAGAACAAATCCCACCTGGACACAGAGTTCATGCAGATGTTGTATTCATTAGTGGGTTCAGTTTGGAAATCGGGGCGGGGGGGGGGTTGACACTGACCGCTTCAGCTTGTGTGGCCATGCGCCTTACTCTGTGCACGTCCCACTTGCACTCCCCCACACAAATTTGATGGCCCTTAACCCACCCCTCACATAAAAGCCACAGAAACCCTTGAGCACATGGTCAGCATTTTGAGGGTAATCGGAGAACTCATTGGGACCTTTGAGGGACCCAAAATACTGATCCCGTGGCCTGCTGGTGTACAGGACTATTTGCTGAATATAGGTTCTGTATGTGCCGAAGACCCAGAGGACGTGTTCATCATCGCTCAGAGTTAGCACCACAGGAGTCCCCTCGGCGTAGCCACTTACATCACCCCAGTTGTGATCATGCTCCACCTGGACACTAGGAGAGAGGACAAGCTTAGGACCCTCATCCAGACATGGCGTGACCTGCCTCCTGGTTCATGGTGCCCCTCCCCGCTCTCTTTTGACTTCTTGAGACACACAAACAAGTCCCTCACTTGGAAAGCCACCCTCAGACACTGTGGTCATTACTCAGCTTGCTGGGGACTCAGTCCCCCCACATGCACAGTGACATCACAAGCAGAGCAGAACCTGGTTACCTGCTCAGAAGACCTTCAGACAGAACAGCTACTGTCACGAGAAACTGACCTTGGCCAAGCTGGGAATTTCTCAATTTCGGTCACTTATAAGACAACAGCAGACCCAGAAGAACAGGTGCCTTCCGTGCTCTAGGGGACTTCACCAGCCCCGTCTACTGACTCCACTGGCATCCTCATCCTTCCGGCCTCAAGGAGGGTGAACCCCCACTATGAAAGGCCTACTTTGGGTTTTCTGCTTCCAGCATATCATGCCACTAATAATCAGTCATAGCTCCCCTCTGACCCTCAGCTCTTAGACTCTAGCCAGACAGCTTAGATTTTGCTTCAAGTGTGGGGACTCAGCACCTTGTGTGTTTGACTTGAGTAGGCAGGTGCATCTCCAACCTTGATCAACCAAGATGGGCTGATCAAATGGATTAAAAATGGAATCTATAATAACAAGACTGTAATCAAGAGAGATTTTTTGGGGACAGAGACAAGACAAAAGGTTTGTCTAGTGGATCCCTGACTATAAACATCAAATAGCTTTAACCAGTCACCAGGAGCCAAATGGGAACTCTGTGGGAAGACACCATTGATCAGTCACCCAACAGGGCTACGGAATAACTCAGTTTCTCTGCCTCTGTCCTCTGTGTGTGTGTGTCTCTCTCTCTCCATCCCACCTCTCTCTCTCTCTTTCTCTCTCTCTCTCTCTATCGCTCTCTCTCCCTCTCCCTCTAGACCATGTACTTATAGATGGGTTCCTGAAAGTGGAAGAATTGGGACAGGACACAGCAGGAGGGGACGTGACCCCGCCCATACTTACCCCATGATCATGTTATTCCGAACATACATGCGAACTCCTGTTAGGTTTTTTCCCTCAGGTATGGAAGTACAGAAAGGTGTGCCCGTTGTTGTGCCATGATAATCTGTGTGGACAGAAACCCAGCAAGGAGAAAGCCCACTCAGTCATGTGGAAGGCCTGTCTTACCACCCTTGAAGCCAGGGAGGTTGTCCTGCGACCTCATTTAGTCTGTGGCAAAGGCTGGGAAGTGTCCCGGGGCTCCGGGGTTGAGAAAGATGAGGTGGCCACCAGAGAGAGGAGCAGAGGTGCACACCCCACAGCTGGCTTACCATCTGCCGAAAAGGCTGGGGTCCCCAGCACAGCAAGGATCACCAACAGCAGCATGACCTCTGGCTGGAACATCTCAAGATCTGAGGGAAAGAGCAAAGACAACCTAACTCCTAGTCAGGGAACCAGCTGGACTTCGCCATGCCTGCCCCGGGAGCCAGGCGCCTTACCTGACTGGGAGAATCTGCCCAGGGTATCTCGTGCCTGGACCTCCTGCCCCTCCCCTTATATGCTCCTGGAGTCTCTTGGGCCCCTGTCCAGAAGGAAGCAGCCACAGGCCACCAGAGGGACAGGAAGGCGCTGGTGGGGGGCTCTTCCTGGGAGAGTTCTTAAAGCCATGTGGGGAGGCTCCCGGACATACTGTGTTTGCCGACTTGGCACTGCAGCTTACATCAACAGGGCTGGTGACAGTGACAGCCATTTATTCCTATTGTCACCTCTGGGTTCTCTCTCATGAGAACCCGAACCACAGATACATTTGGCATGTGCTCTACCCCTGAGCTTTTAAGGGTCTTCCGTTTCTGTGTTACTTGTATGTGCATGTAGATTCGGAGTTCATGCATGTGTGTGCACATGTCAGTGTACATCAGGTGTCTTCTTATTTTTCCCCTCCTTCTCCCTTTCCTCTTCCTCCTCTTCTTCCTCCTCCTCTTTTTTATTTCTTGAAGACAGGGTCTTTCTATCACCCAGGCTGGCCTGGACTAGGTTTGCCTCAGATATACAGAGATCTACCCCATCTCCCAAATGCTGATATTAAAAGCCTGAAATACTCCTATTTTTAATTTTAAACATTTTTATGTATATGGATCATTTTGCCTGCACAAATGTCTGTGTACCACTTTTATGTTCAGAGTGCTTGGAGGCCAGAAGAAGGTAGCAGAACCTCTGGAACTGGAGTTACAGACAGTTGTGTTAGTGCCAGAGTCCAGCCCAGCTCCTTGGGAAGAACAGCTGCTGAGCCACCTCTCCATCCAGGCCTTTATCCCTGCTTTTAGACCATCTTTATCTAATCCTAGAGCTCCCTGGTTTGGTTAGACTGGCTTGTCAACGGGCTCCTAGGATCCTCCTGCCTCCCCACTTTTTCTGTACTGGCATTACAACCATGCACGGCCACACCCAGTCTTTTTTTTTTTTTAAGACAGGGTCTTTAGGCTGGGCTCCAACTCCCAGAGATCGCCTGCCCCTGCCTCCCAAGTGCTGGGATCAAAGGGACGAGCCACCACTGCCCAGCTGCTTTGCTTAATCTTTAAAACATATTGTGAATTCAGAACTTTGAGAGAAATGTAAGCTGAGAAACAGCAAAAGTAGAGGAAGATAAACAAATATATGCATCACTGAATTGTGGTGTTCTCTCTCTCAAGGAGCCTGCACGCCTGTCCTGGTGCCGTGTACCATCGTCTTCCTATGCACTCTCTGCTTAAATACTTGCTAAGAAATTCTCTAATGTTGCTTTGCTCTGGTTCAAACAGAAGTTCTCTTATGGGGCATAGATAAGGTTCTGGATTTATGTAAGCAGAAGTCCCTAAACGGGAAGGGAAATCATCCAGCTGCTGTGGGTTTGTTGAGCGGTGTCTCCCTGCAGAGGCCCTTCTCTTGGATACTTCTGTAGCTATGGGTGAGCTGAGTTTGCCTTGATTGCTCTTCATCATCTCAGCCTCACTTCTCTGGCTTCTGTTTCTTTTGTTTCTCTTTTCCTTTGTTTTCTGACTAGGGACCCATCAAGTATTTAATACATGTCTCCAGCCATCAGCTAGGAAAACCCAAAGTCTCCATACACTTGTCTTGGGTCAGATAGAGGAGCACACAGCTTGCCTAGGAAGACATCGCTAAAGGAATGACCCAGGACATGTTCTGAGCTGCCCTCTGCATAGACAAGTGCAGGAGCCTTGCCTCGATTCTGTTCAGATGAACTGACTCTGGGGTGATCCCAGAGAAGCTAACCTGGTTAGGAGTTACATTTTCAGACCCAAGCATTTATTGGCCAACTAGTTGCTGAAGAGGACTCTTGTCTCTTTCTATTGGTGCTAAGGTTCTTCTGTCTGCCATCTCTCCCCCACTAAGCTACCTTACTGAATCTAAGTGTGGCATACACCTGCAGGAGCCCCTGGAGGCTGGAAGGGGGTGTCAGATCCCTGGAAATAGTGATAGGTGTTTGGGAGCTGCCATTTGTGTGCTGGGAACCAAACCCCAGTTCTCTGCAAGAGCAGTAAGCGCTCTTAACAGACCAACCATCTCTCCATTCCCCTCCCCAGCTGCCTTTAGAAAGCTTGTTAAGCGTCCTGGATAAGGGGTCAGTGTCTCTCTTGGCAAGGACTTGCAACCTTCCATGTCAGCCTCCAGCTTTTCCTCACGGGGACTCTCTGACTCTTACCCTGGTTCTAGATTCTAATGAACAATGCTTGGGAAAGCGGCCTTCAAAAAGTTTCAAAGCTGAAACGGATGAAGAGAATTTTTATGGTTTCTTTGTTACCCAGATGTTCAGTGCTTCTAAGCCTATCTTTAGAACTTTGACAAGAAGACATAACCTGACATCCTCAGAAGCCTGCAACACTCCTAGAGGAATCCTGCCGCCTAGCTGTGGGAATACCAGCACCAAGAAAATGCCTGTATAGGACAAATCAATGTTGTTTAGACCAGCAATGGGGAACCCAGAGTAAGGAGTACCTGAGGCCACGTGTATGGTGCAAGCCTTTGCTTCCAGATCTCCGGAGGCAGAGGGTCAGAGCTCTACGAGTTCAAGACCAGCCTGGTCTTCAGAGCGATCTCCAGGAAAGCCACAGCTCTATAAACAGACCCTGTCTAAAAAAACGCATTTCCCCAGCTTTTAAAGGGGAAACAGAATTAAGGTATATTTCATATCATACACGAATATTTTCTCCTTTTCTTTTAGGTGCACAGGTAACTAGAGAGACAACACAAAGCCAATCATTTATTCCTGACCCAGCCTTTAGGCCGAGTTTGACATATTTGGGGGGCAACTTTAAAACAGATGGTAACAAAGACTTTTATATACTTCTGCCTAATCATAGTGCAGGTTAAAAGGCGTGACTTAGAAACCAGCTTCTCTAAAACTGCAGCATGGGAGGTTTTCATTTTCTTTCATTTATTTTGGGGCACGAGGGATTAATATAAAGATCTGACTGTTCCAGCCCTCATCCCAGCCCTAATATACAGGTTTGTTTGTTTGTGTGTGTGTGTCTCTAGGACAGTTATTCAAGGTGCCTATAAAGCCAATTCCAGATAAAGCATAGCATTCAAGAGTTCAGTGTTGGACTTGAAGTGCAGCTCCATTGAGAGATGCCTGCCTGGCATGCACCTGGATTCAGTACCCAGAACTGTCTAACTTGGGCATGGTGTCACATTCCTGTAATCCAACAACTTGAGAGGCAGAGAATCAAGTATTGTATGAGACTTGTCCTAGGATGGCAGGAACAAATGTCTATTCATCCCAGATAGGAACCAATGACATAAAAGTTAGGACACCAGAGAGGTCGGCACATGATGGACACGTAGCCACATAGCCAGGAAGGAAGATTTAGAGAGAGAATAAGGAAGCCCCAAGAACTAGAAAATCCTACTTAGCTCTGGTCAGCACTCAGAAGAAAGCCCAAAGAGAAGAAAAAGAGAAAGTTACACCTTCTGAGGCAGGACTCAGAGAGGCAGGCTGCTCCAACAGAGCCTCATGGACGGCCCCCAGAGCACTGGCCAGAGGAGGGAATTCTGGAAACAAAATCACATCTCACTAAGGGAATAATTGTTCCTCCTACCTGTTTTATATAGCCTCAGGTGGACCAGCCTTCCTGAGGAGTGGTCCTTCGCTATGTGATTGGTTCACACAGCCGGATTAACTCTTGAGGAGCAGACAGGATGTCTCCATCCACAAGAGTATTCCATGGTTCACTGTAACCAGGGTAGGGTGTTCTTCACCTTCCTGAGAGTGCTATTAGGCTTTGGATGCCATCATCTGAATGAAAAACCTGTCCCATCGGGACAGCAGCCCTCTGGCAGGACTGTACGGCATTGAAAAAAAACACTAGCCCACCACAGCCTGTGCCCCTCACGCTCCCCCCTTCCCTCTGTCTGGATAAAAACTGTTAGGTTACATCCCTAAAGTCAGCCACCAAGGTCTATTCCCTTCTTTGGCCGCTTCCTCCTCCTGAGGCTGACTACTGAAGTCCAGTAATCAATAGTTCTCTTTGGCTCATTTAATTAGCACGCCCAATTAAAATGAAACACTTCATCCTAACATGGGTTTTCCCCTTCACCTTTATAAACCACAACTTGCCTCTGGGCCCATCTGTCTCCTCTCTATTCTGAGGCAGTCCTTGTCCCTCTGGGACAAATATCCCTGCCTCTCATCCCTTGTTCCCTTCCCATTAATATTGGTTCTCTGTGTCTCTTATGTCCACATCCTAGCCCATTTTAACATAGATCTCCCCTTTTCCTCCTCTTAAAAACTACACCTGCAGGGTCTTTTGCTACTGATTTTCTGCCTGAGTCAGAAAGCAGTCACTTTAACGTTCCTTCCCCACCGCCAACACTTAATAAAGACTCTCTCTGTGAGAACAGGTGCGTGCTATGACCCGCAGGAATATGCAGTCATTATTCAACCGTCATTTCATGAGGCCGACCCATCAGAACTCAGCATTCTGTCGGAGGATTAAACCAAGACGTAGGCATATTGGAGCTATTGCCTTGTGAATGAATTGGCTGCTTTCTGGCTGCAGATTTCTCCCATAACTTACTCCCAGCTGTTACAAATTTGGGATCTATTTCTCCCACAGTTCAGCAGTATTTGATCATTTATTGGGCACAATTTCGCCAATGCATTTGTGGCATATTTATTTATAAGATTCCCTAGCTATATGTGAAGACAGTCACACATTTAAAAAAAAACAATCCTCTTTCCCACAAGCAGTTACTTCGCCAATTTGATTTTAAGATAAACTGTTACGGAAAGAATATAATCTTATTGATTAAGACATGTAGCCAGCTGTAGAATTTGTTAAGGTAATAGTGCAAAGTACCCTAACTGCAGTACCAGGGACAATAATGAACTCTCTGCATGGGTTTCTTTGCCTCAGTTCTATGGCCTTTGTTCAGACCCTCAGAATTAGATGCCCTGACTGGCCAGGGTGGGCTACAAAATACAAGCTAACTTCATAGTCCCAAGGAAGAGTTACGAGCTTCTCTTTCTATGGTCCCGGGTTACATGCCGGACAGACAAATATATCTTCAGATTGAAAA